GTAAATACATCAAGGGACTCTTTCAATGAATCCACTTTCACTTTTATTTCTGTTAAATAATCAAAAATTGATCGAACAGTCTGTGCCATCAGTAAACTTTGCCTTGGCACAAGATCTGTAGTCTCATTTTTAGAAATCTCTTCCTGCCAACGTTTTGCAGTAAACGCTGCAACCGAACATGCTGTGGCTGCTTCAGAAGAGGAAACTGTGAGGTCTAAGGGGCCCAGGGAATTTGGCTCCCCACTGCTGTAAGTGGGGTGGTCCACTACACTTTCATCTTCTAAGTCCCAATTCAACACCTCATATCTCTTTGGAGTGTACCCGAGGCTTGGATTACTAATCATGCTAATGCTGGTGCTGCCATTATTTACATTAACTTCTTCAGTCGCCTTCTTTTAAAATTCCATAAGGTCATCTATTTTTTGTTGCTGGGATGATTTAAGCGATGCCTGCATGCCAGAATTCATTCTTTGTCGTTTCTTCCTCTTTCTCATGCTGTAATCTTCTCTTGATGGCAAAATATAAACAGTTCTCACCCAGTTTATAGATAAAATAAACAGTTCTCATTCAGTTTGTTTGGAAATTAGTTGCATACCGTTGTGCACAGGGACCAGGAATGAATAAAAGATTAGTCTGATAATGTAGAAGTAAAAATAAAAATTTGCCAGAGCACTCTAGTAGCTAGATGCTTTCACTTTGCCATCTTGGGACTTCCAAGAAGGACTTCAGATCTTACATTTGGATTGGCTCTTGGATAATTTTCACATTCAAATTGTTTATTATAAGTGAAATGCCATTCTTGAGCTGCAGTTAATAATGAGATAGACGAACAAATAGTTTGATTTAGTATAAGAGAGCTTCCTATGTTCTTGGAGTGGGAATGGGGAAATGAAAATCCCATTTGCCACCTCGGTTGGAAATAACACAACACATTTGATATTTACTGATGAGACTTTTTCAAGTATATTTACAGTATCCCATATTCCCTTCCCTTCGATTAAATGAAACGTTCCCAGAATAATATACCTTACTTACCTTTAGATGGCACATCACAAATTCGTGAAGAAGGTGGTTCCATTTTGAATTCCTGAAGACTGAAAGATGTCCCAAGTCATGTTGCAGCCAACCTGCTTGAGACTAAAAAGAAAGGGTGATTCACAATAGAAGGGCCACATTTTGTGTCACTCCTACGACTCCTACATTGGAGCTTCCCCAGCATATCCAACTGTATTTTTAACAGCCATGCAAGAATTGGTAGGGTAGATAAAAATAAAGTTTCATTCACTCTAGGATTTTTTATTCAGCCCAAGGGGCAGCCACCCAGAGAAACATTCCAAACAGGACTGTTCCTTTGTTCTTCCTTACCAGGAACTGCACAAGAAAGCAGTTCTACAACATAACCGTTGATATAATTATCTTCCACAAATTTATCTGATACCTTGTGATAGACTCCAGGAAGACATGGCTGCTTTTTAATGCTCCATTCCTGTCCTTCAGAATGGGAGATTTGAGATATAAGATGACATGACATCCAATATCTTTCTTTTCTACGGAACCATTCGTTGGACAAAATACGACTGAATTGTCTTTAGTTTTCCTCAACCCTTGTTCCTCCAAACAATTCAGAGCAATTTTCTGAAGGCCCATGACAGCTGAATTTGCATTATTTTCCTTATGGAGAAATTATTTTCTTTTAATTTGGTTGAAAGGCATTTTGCTGTAGGAACCCTATCTAAGGGGAAATGTAATTTTGCCTAAAAATAAACTCAAGAAAATTACCTGAGCAAAGGTGAGCAGCATTGTGGCAAGAAGAAAAGGTGTTATAGATGTCCCAAAATACCACAGCACAAACCAGCCGGCAGCATCCAGCAGTAAAATATGCAGAAGGGTCAGGAAAAAAAAGACTTGGTCTGGCTTGAAGAGTCCCATCTTTTCAACAGTGGACAGCAGCTCCCGAAATTCTTCTACTAACAGTTTCTGTGGAAGAAACCAACTTGACTGTCAGGATACAATGGAGCTGCCCTGTGGCATCAACAGTTAAGATCAAGAATATCTGGTGGAATTGCCCTCCAAACTATCCCCTTCTTTCCAACATTTTACAGGGGATTGAAGCTGGAAACTATGTGACCCCAAATTGTGATAAATACTCTTAACACTGATAAACATGGAAGGAAGCAGATGAAAACTTGTTGCATAAATAAATTATAATATTTCTTAGTGACTGCTAAACAATTATAATATTTTTCTTAGTGATTGCTAGACAACTTACAACCCATGTTTGAGACACATGGAATCATCATTCAATGTCTATCTGGATTCAGTAATCATGGCAAATAGCACTAATGGAGAAACTGACCAAGAGAGAGAGAGAAAGAGAGAGACAGAAAATAGTTGGTGTCAGTGAATATTTATTTATTTATTTATTTATTTATTTATTTATTTATTTATTTATTT